GGGTGCGTGCCTGGGAGGGGCCCGGCCGGGCCCTTCCAGAAGCACCGCCCTCCGTGCCCGACCCACTCCCCGTCCGGCTGGCCGGCCCCCCTCCCGCCCCTCCGGAGGCCGGCCAAGGGCAGGAGAGTAGCACGCCGGGCCCGTGCGCCCAGCACGCGCACTATAAAAGACCTCTGCGCGTGGCTTTGCCCGAGAGACATTCAGGCCCCCGACCTAACGTCACCCCCCACAAGCCTGAGCGCGAGCAAGAAAACCTCCCCCGCCCTCCCTCCTCCTCCTCCTCCTCCTCATCCGCCTCCGCCTCCTGCGACCACCGTCACCATGCCGCCCCAGAACAACACCACCCTCGCCACCACCAACAACTCCGCCTACAAGCCGGACCATGCCCCCCTCAACCCCACCCTCCCGCTGACCACCGGCGTCGCGCCCGAGCTGGTACGCCCTCCTCGCTCCCCGGCCCCGGCCTGCCCTTCCATCCTCCCTCCTCCCCCCGCTGACATGATCCCCCCCCGTCCCCCCGCCAGATCAACGACACCGTCACCAACTACAACAACTACTGGTCCGCCGACATCGACAAGAACGACAAGAATGTCGAGACCCGTACCACCAGCTACGCCAACCTCACCAACTCCTACTACGACCTGGTGACCTCCTTCTACCAGTTCGGCTGGGGCGAGAGCTTCCACTTCGCCAACACCCTGCCCCAGGGCAAGGAGAAGCTGGCGCAGGCCTGCCAGCGCCACCAGCACCAGCTGGTCGCCCAGCTCCGCCTGCCGCACCTCGCCGGCAGCCCCGAGGCCAAGCAGCAGCTCCTGCTGGATGTCGGGTGCGGCATCGGCGGCCCCATGCGCGAGATCGCCCGCTTCACCGGGGCCCGCGTGATCGGCATCAACAACAACGAGCACCAGAGCAAGATCGGCCGCGCCATCAACTACAAGGACCGGCTGGCGGCCTGCCCGGATGCCGGCATCGATGGCGCCCGGCCCGGCATGCACCCCGATGTCGATGCCTCCCAGACCGCCATCGTCACCGGCGACATGATGGAGCTCCCGTTCGAGGACAACACCTTCGACGGTGTCTACGCCATCGAGGCCACCCTGCATGCTCCCAAGCTGGTCGACTGCTATGCCGAGATCCTCCGCACCCTGAAGCCCGGTGCCCGGTTCGCCGTCTACGAGTGGGTCCTGACCAACTTCGACCCGGAGGACATGTCCCACCGTGAGCTCCGCCGCAACATCGAGATCGGCAACGGCATCGCCAACCTCGTCACCGACGCCGAGGCCCGCCAGGCCATGCTGGATGCCGGCTTCGAGCTGGAGTTCGCCGTCAACATGGCCGACCCGTCCGTCCGCCCGGAGGCCCTGGAGCCCTGGTATGAGGCCCTCAAGGCCGGCAACACCAGCCAGTCCTTCTTCAGCATCGAGGGCTTCCGCAGCTCGGCCATCGGGCGCACCGTCACCGACTACGGCGTCTGGGCCCTGGAGAAGCTCCGCCTGGCCCCGACCGGCTCGCACGAGGTCTCCCAGGTCCTGATGACCGCTGCGCAGTTCCTGGCCGAGGGTGGCGAGCGCCGCCTCTTCACCCCCATGTACCTGATGGTCGGCCGCAAGCCCGAGTAAGTGTGCGGGGTGTGTGCCTTCGGGTGTGAGTGTGTGTGTGTGTTTGCGCGCGAGAGAGGT